TTTGTTGTTGCAAAATGGTCAGGCTTAATCCCATTATTGTTGTTTTTATATGGGAACTATTACAAAATATGGTCAGTTCCTTTTAGTAATTTTTCCTAAATACTGGGAACACAAACTGCCAATTTACATCAAATTCTAACCCGAATTGTGACTAAAAGAACCAAACAACCGTAAATCTGCCGGTACAGTTATATGGGGGCTTTGCCAAAACGTTTGCCTATATAACCTATTTTCAATACATCCCAAAATTCCTGCAGACCTAAAACATCTGAGTAAAATTTTATAAACCTGTTAAATTTCCTTCGGGTGCTATGGTGATTCCTAGAGACGTACAGAAGGAAGGAATGACAAGTAATATACAAATAATATACCCTCTAGGGTATAACAAGTAAAAAAGCAGTAAGTTCGGCCGGGCCGAACTTTGAATACCCTCCACCATTTGGAACGAATTAGAAAATTTTCAAAAAATAAGATCCATTAAAAATTCTGATAAAATCTTTAAAATATCTAATGCCGATATATGGGGGGATATACGATATTGTGGACCTATATAGATAATTTTTTTAAGGGGTTATAGTACTCACAAAGAACTCCTTGTGTGGATTATCAGACAATACCATAGGAAAATATGGCTAAAATCATCAAAATACCAAATATGGGGATATACGATATCGTTAACCTATATAGAGAATTCTCTGTCAGGGGGTAAAGTGCTCACAAAGAACCTCCTGTGTACAATTTCAGACAATTCAGTTAAAAAATGTAACTAAAATCATCAAAATACCGAATATCGGAGGATACCGTTATATGGGGGCTATACGATATCGTGGATCTATATAGATAATTCTCTTCCGAGGTATAAAGTACCCACAAGGTACTCTTTGTGTGGATTTTCAGACAATTCCGTTGAAAAATGTGGGTAAAATCATCAAAATACCTAATATCGGGGGGTACCGTTATATGGGGGATATACGATATCGTGAACCTATATAGATAATTCTCTTCCGAGGTATAAAGAACCCACAAGGGACTCCATGTTTGGAATTTCAGACAATTCCATTGAAAATGTGGCTAACATTATCAAAATACCGAATATGGGGGTGTACCGTTATATGGGGGCTATACGATATCGTGGACCGATATAGTCCATCTTCGAACTTGACCTGACTGCAGACAAAAGAGGAATCTGTGCAAAATTTTAGCTTCCTATCTTAATTCGTTTAGACTGTAGCGTGATTACAACAGACGGACGGACGGACAAGGCTAAATCGTCTTAAAATAAAATTTTACGCTGATCAAGAATATATATACTTTGTTGGGTCTAAAATTATTACTTCGATGAGTTACAAACGGAATGGCGAACTTAATATACCCTCCATACTATGTATGGGGGAGGGTATAAAAATACTTAAAACTCAAATCTACTTCCCAACTTACAACTTTACTTACTTGTGTTAAAGGCACAAGGTTTCGTGGCCAGTAGGCCGGAAACAGGTATATCCAACAAAATTTAGAAGGTAATATTAATTATGTCCACCTTAAATTTCAAAATCAGTTATCATATCAGTCTATTATTTATTAATGAGACTTTTTGCTGTGAAGAGGATTTCATTTGAACTAGAATATCAATGCAAAGTCTGCTTTACACAGACAACTAAATTATATATCGTACGAATATTCGAATATTTATTTGATATTTAATGATGACATATTCGGAGTAAATAAAGCTTTAAACTGCTTTATATAGCTCAAAATAATGGACACTGCTTTGAGGCATATTATAACATTTTCTATTGCAATGAAGCGATTTTACTTAACTTTTTGTTGTTTACCATTTCAGACACCCTGTAGAGCTGAATACGTAACTCGTACATCACTGACGGCTTGTTTATCGAAGTTATATACAGTGGTGTATATACATATATACCAGCATGCAGTTTTCTATGAGCGATTGCATTTACAACAAACCTATGCACTGAACTATCAATACATATGCACACACATATACAGTGCATGTTGATTGTCTCATGTAAATGATGCTCGAGCGATCGCCACTTTCTGTTGACTGTTGCTAAGTGGGAAAAAGTTACTGGTGATTTTTTTCAATCGGCAGTTACAGTCTAGATTTACGATTTGCATCAATAGATGAGGGAATATGATCATAAAGTGTATGGAGTTATATGGCGAGTAGCAACAAGTTGTTTAGTCCCATGCCTGTACGTCCGAACAAACTGGAAGATAGCCGGTAGCAAACTGTGGTGTTTGCTCGGTCTATAATTCACTTAAATTGGGTTTTATGTTTTGAGTAGTGGCAATTAATTGAAAAAACGTGGAGAAATCCAAAAGTAAAAGTTGAAAAAAGTAATTTATAAATCAGAAAATATAATGAATATTTTTTTAAACAGCAAAAGCAGGAATATTCGATGAGATAATAATAATAATGAGAAAATTGAAAGAAATTGTAAGGTGTTGGTATTAGTCTAAAATGTTGTTTTTCAATAATCCAGTGATAATATTTACATTTAATGGTTTGTAGCACATCATATCACTTATTATTACGATGTGTACGGAATTCTATTACAATTTTTGTCCTCTCTGCCAACAAAAATTAGTAAACTTTAAACATCAATTTTTTTTTATAAAATTTTAAATAAGAATTTACGAAATTTTTAATGTAAAGTAGAAAAAGTAGAAAATGTCAGAAAAGTAGTCATTTCGTAGGTGAAGCGGGTGCCCAGGGCCAACATCCTGCACTCGTCCCTAATGGACACCATGGTAAATTGGAGCTATAGTTCCCTTAAGGAAGGGTTTCCGTGATACTGATAGCGTAGCCCGATGTCAAGGAAGTGGACGGAAGACAACAGCAACATAAGCAAAAATGGTTCGAAATGTAAAGAAGCGACTTGATCGAAACCCGCGTCGCAGTGGCTGATAAATGGCTCGTGAGCTAAACATACCTCAATATTCCATTCGGCAAATATTGAAAAATGAGCTCAGGGTAAAGCCATTGAAATTCTAAAAATTGCAAGAACTTACACCGCACCAGAAAGAGAAAAGACTCAAAAGAGCCTAAGAGTTGCTTCGCTTGGCCGAAAGTGGTGAACTGCCGAATTTGGTTTTCTACTATGGGAAAACATTCGTTGTCCAGCAGTTTGTAAAAAAACAAAATGATCGTATTTACCTGCCAAAGAGGTCAGCTGAAAATGTGCAACTTCGGTTGACCACCAGAACTTAAAATAAATGCCGAATATTATCGCGAAAATATTCTGGAGGGTGTTTTAAAGCCTTGGGCTCGCAAACATTTTGGCCACAGACCCTGGACATTCCAACAGGACACAAAATGAGGTTCCTCGCTTCATTTCCAGCGCACAATGGCCACCAAAATCTCCGGATACCAACCCGTTGGACTATTGTGCCTGGAGTATATTGGAAAGCAAGGTTGGCACCAAAAAATACCAAAGTTTCGATTACCAGCACTTCGCCGGGAATGGGCCAAAATACCACAGAGCAACATTCGGGCGAAGTGTGACCGGTTTCATTGACCGTTTGAAGGCCGTAATTCTTGCCAAAGTGGACCATTTATTACTTTCATTCAATAAAATTAAAAAGAAAAAATGTAAAAATTTGGTGTTTGATTTTGTTGCAGTTTTTTCATCTCACCCTGTATGTTTAATCCTTCTTGGTACTTAGTTTCTCAGAATCGGTAATATGCACTGACAAGGTATCAGATATAGTCGACCAATTTTGTCGAAATCGGTTCAGATTTAGATAGTGTTGGAACTTTCATAAATTAATATAAGTGTAGGTCCTATCTATGTAGAGTGTAGGTCTATATCGATTCAGATTTAGGGATAGGTTATATTTTCGATCAGCGATCAAGTACAGACAAATTTTTACTTCAGATAAAGCTGTAGCTTCGATATATGTTTCAACCCATTTTTTATGTAAGTCTGTCTATAATCAAAATCAATCGTATTTAATAAAAACAAAAGTCGTCCGGGGCCGACTAAATGATACCCCATACCACTATGCATATATAGTAGAGTACCCGTAACAAAAGAATTTATTTGAAGTAGATCATTATCAATCTTTGGTTTTAAAGCAGTTATAATTTAGTTTCAGAGGGAATATCTAAAAGGCCTATCCAATTCTCTATCGATTTTAACCAAATTTGTCGCAGACATTGCTATAGAGAGCATGATATCACTTCGAGAAGGATTATATTAAAAAAATTATATATCGGAGATCCACCAAATAAAAAAAATCGTTTGTATTTGGAAAAATCCATCAAATTTGGGCTTATATTACATATATGGTAATTACAAATGTGTAATATTCTTGCAACCTACTGAATTTATCTTAAAAATAAGTACTTTAAATTTTTGTGAAAAGTTATAGCTGCTATATATCAGATGTACTTATAGGTCCCATATATATATTTCATCTGACCTGGTCTATAGGTCCCCCATATTCGTAACATGCATTCGACAATAATGATATTGGGTACCAGACACCTTATAGATCGGATATATCAAATTTTATCGAAATCGGCTGAAATTTGGATATAGCTCCCATATAAATCCTTAATCCGATTTCTGGTTTAAGAACAAATGGAGTGAATTTCTAACGTACACTTCCATTTTATGGAACTCGGCTGCGATATATATTTCTTAATATAATCCTTCTCGAAGTGATATCATGCACCCTACAAGCAATTTTATTTGGTATAAAAGATGAAAATGTCTTCGTCAAATTTAGTGAAAATCGATTCAGAATTGAATATGCCTCCCATATATTAGTTTCCTCTGAAACCAAACTATAACTGCTCTAAAGTCAAATGTTGATAGGTGGTGTGATCTACTTCAAACAAATAATTTTGTTACGGGAGCTTTACTAAATATGCATGGTGGTGTAGGGTATAATATAGTCGGCCCCTCTCGACTTTTGACTTTTCCTTACTCTTTTCAAAAATTTTCAAAACACAAACTCACAATACTTACCCCTCATTTTTTCATTGTCATATATATTTGTTAACCTTGAAATTGGTCCATTTTCAAGATAAACATCAGCTTCTTAAGCATCTGTTCCAACGAAGTGGAATGTGTTTCAAAATAATAAAAAAGCACACAGCTGTCACTCCGTTGACTGATTCCGTTCAATAAGTAGCATTGAAGCCGTTGCCGCTGATGATAATATTGAGTTGATGATTCTCAAGATGATGTTGACTGTTGAATTTTCATTCGCTGGTCATTCGCTGAGATCCATACTGACCTGGAAATCATACACGACCAACCAATCGACCGGCCGACCGACCGACCACAACACATATAATATTTCGAAAACAAAACAATTATCTTGAAAACTACTTTGACATTTTACAAATGCCACTCAATCTTAATTAGAAAGAACTTAAACAACCTCATATTATTAAATCGCAAACCATTTTTTATATAAGACCAAGCAACAACCACAACAACGGGTAAAAAATCGCTTGTGTTGTTTTTGTTTTCTCGTATTTGTTTCACTTTTGATGTGGTTGCTGCCGCTGTTGCTGTGATGTTGCTTTGCAACGTTAAGTGCTATAATTATTTTAAAGTGTGCTTGTTCTTAAAAGACAGCAGCGATGAGATCATACTAAAAATACAATAACAACAACCATAACCACAGCCAAATCAACGAAAAAAACAGTTGAATAGTTTAATTACAAACAAATAAAAAATAACAATTTTTTATTCAATTGTTTTGTTTGTTGCTGCTGTTGTTATTTTTATATAATTTAGAGGTTTGTTATTATTTTTGTGTACCTTTTACACTGCCGCACAAAAGTTGTTTCAGATCTTGGAAAAATATATTTTAATAATATCTGATAGCAATTTATAGATGGAAGAAAAAAATCTACGAAAATATTTTAAATCAAAATATTTAAATCAAAACGAAATTTTGCTAAAAGATGAAAGATGAAACTCATACATAGGTCTCTAGACCTTTCTTATAGCCGCCATGTCTTCTTAAGTCTTAAAACGCCAATTTAACACCAATCCCATTCAAATTGTAGAAAACCATGTTAACTTACTAATATTTTATGCTCAAATATTTTTTTGGTAGTTGTGAAAATCTCTGGAAACCAATCTTCGAACAAAATAATGTAATCATAATATAGAACACATACTTTTTTCACTTAGTGTATAAATTAAAGAAACGTGCCAAAGGAAAAGCGCAGAAGACGGGGAACAAAACCCATAAAGAATAATAGCGATAAATTTATAGAACTGGCAGACATATTGACGGCAAATTATAAATTGTGTTGTAAAAAACGTTTATACTGTATAAAAATCAAAATGAAACGAATTGATTATACTATATACACACAGACACGAACGATTTGTTTTTGTTTTATTTTACAAACGCTGTGATGTACGTGAACGTGTTACGTTGATTTATTCAATTCAAATCGATCACTTGGCACGAAATGAATGGATTCTTGTCTATCAAACATTTGTTGTATTCAAAACTATTATTGAAATTATTTTTTTGGAAAAAGACCGATTTAAAGATAACACAGCAAATAAGTGGAAAGCCTATTTATATATCCTAATAAGGGTGACCTATCAAAATGTAAGATGTTTATCTTCTAATGGGTTATTCAGCCCATGTAGTTCCCACATTTTTTGTGATGCTATAGGATTTAAAATCCCTTCTGAATAATGGCATTCTTTCGTTTAAATAATAACTCGGGAGACATGACTCTGGCTGAATGAATCTATGAAGGGCGAAACGTGTACGAGAAATGAGGGAATCAGACAATAAGGGATCTGTATCCAACAATATTATTCCAATTAAAATACAGTATATCGATATGATATATACAGAACATTGGCAAATAATGCAACAACAACAACTGAACACTTATTTCTTTCATTTCCCAGTAGATTGAATTTCTACCCGAAAGTAATTTGTAATTTATGTGGAAGGTCACTCATTTAATGGTACCATTCCAGAATCTGTAATTTGTAATTTTTCCTTCTCAGAGGATAGAAATTTTCCCTTCTCAATAAATGTCCACGCCTTGACGTGCGGCACAGACATGGACCAGCAACTTAGTGGCATTTGCCAAAATGTTTTGTGTTGAAAGATTTTCTTTTAATTGGAAATCAGACATAATAAGGAAGCGTTTTTCGATTTTCGGTCACTTAAGTGTATTCTCCCTCCAGAATTGGCTCTGATACTATTAGTAAAGTGATTGCGAGTACGTACGTTTTTATACCCTCCACCATGCTAAGGAAGGTGTATTGACATTATAATTCCGTTTACAAATCTTCGAAAATAGCTCAAAATTCCAAATCGATTTAGCGGTGTCCGCTCATCACATCACATTGATCACATATTCTAACATAATTGTTTACAATTGTTCAACCTTATGTGGCAGAACTTTGTCTATATAAGACCACATTTTCTTATAGCCCCCCGCTACTCGACACACTCGTTTTGAAAACTGAATTGTTTAAAATTCCGTTCTTAGAATTTCTAACGATTTCTACCTGTTATGGCAGACTGTTGTCCTTCTACGTTCTCCTTTTCCTATAGTCGCAATGTAACGAACCACATTTTTAGCAGAATATAATAATAATAGAAAGAATATAATAATGTAAGAAATTTTAATAACGCATATAACGCCTCCACCCATTTCATTATTCAAACGATCTTACTGGTATTTGTAGTTTAAAGAGGATCCATATACTATTATATAAAAATGTTTTCATAACCTAATGGTGGGGGTATTAAAAGTTCGGCCCGTCCGAACTTAATGTTTTTATACACTACACCACAAGGTGGTCAGGGTATTATGTCTTTGTGCATTTGTTTGTAACAGGCAAACGGAAACGAGATAGTCCCATATTTCATGTCGATGATCTGCATAGAATCACATTCTAAGTCGATTTATGCATTTCCGTCCGTCCATCTGTCCGTCCGTCTGTCTGTCCGTCGGTCCATGTGTGTTTGTAAACAAAGTACAGTTCGCATTTATTGCCCTATCCAGATGAAATTTTGCACAAATCATGGCCCAAGGACGAACCCTATTGAAATTGGAGATAATCGGTCAAAATTTAGATATAGCGCCCATATATATTTCTTCGTCCGATTTGCCTTTTTTTTGTGCACCAAACGTGTAATATCAGCCCGAATAGTATGGAATTTTGCACGTACAACCAGGCCTGAAAATAAGTATGCATAATTTGATCGAAATCGGTTCAGACTTGGATATAGCTATATATATCTTCATATCCATATATATATATATCCATATATATCTTTATCCGAATTTAAAAGATACAAATGCTTTGGCATATTTAGTCCTTTGAACTTTAAATTATAATCATAGCGCGTATGATTGAATTCTCCCATAAAAACTTTTAATTAATATGTGGAGCTCTTCTAAATTAACAAAGTGGTGTAGGGTATCATAAAGTCGGCCCGCCCGTCTTTAAGACTTTCTTTACTGGTTTTTACTTGTTTTTGTTTCGATTATATAATTTAGTATCCAATATGAGGTTTATTTTTATAATTATTGAAGTGCTTCAATACTGCATTAATAATAGCCCTCGTTAACCTAGGCCATTAGATAATTCTAAAATTATTGCTTCCGTTATTCCAATGCCATATTTTGCTCTGCAACTGGTTGTAAAATAAAAATATATATTTACACGTCAAAGCAGACAAAAACATTTCACAAGACTCGTTCAATATTTCTTACGCATATATGTACAGATAGGTATATTTTTAAACACTACAACTGAAGTCTACTTTTCAATCGTATGATTGATGATTAGTCATCATGGCCTTTGTCGCTGATAATGAGGCAACAAAGGTGTTTTCGTTTTCTTATTTCTTTCTACCACAAAGTTGGCTTCTGAAAATTCATATTGAGTAATAATCGAATATAAATGTGTGTTCGATTGAAATAGGCAGAACACAAATGGGAAATGTTTTCGAATTTCGTTAATTAATTGATAAAAGTTTAAAGTTCGCATATACGATGGGATTTTTTTTTTAATTTTCAATTTTCAGAAAAAAAAACATGTTATTTGAAATCACGTTGAGTTAAAATTTATTATTTATGTAATGTTGTGGAACGTAAAAATTAAAGAGAAGTAATTGCAATCGATTTTCCAATTAGGACCTACAAAGTCCATTAAAGTATAACAAATAATTGGTTCTTCAGAGCTATATTAAAGCACTTTCTAAATCGAATTGTACATGTATCTCGCTTCACCTCTATTTAATTTCATGGTATGGATTTTTCCCAATAATATATTTTATAATTTAATAATATATTTTTTGTTTATTATATTAATATTTAATAATATTTTCAAATTTAAATAATGTTTCCATGTTTGTTTGTCATCAAGTAAAAATTGTTTAATTCCATGGCATTGCAATTCATTAGGAGAAAGTTCATTTATGACAGCTCACTGATCTATAGACTATGGCATGTCTATAGATCAGTGAGCTGTGCTATGGCAGAAAATTTAAGTAGAATACTGTAAAAGGTAACGTGTGGACTAATTATAACTTTATAGTCGTGACTGCTACTATATAGTTTCGAAATCCATTACGATATAATGGTTTTTTCTTACATTAGTGTCGATATATTATAAAGTACATATTTGCAAACTTTACATGAAATCAAGTGTGATTTTGACACAGTTTAATAAATATGTTCCACATAATACTTGTTTCCAAAATAAAACTCTAATCCCTATTTTGTATGTGATGCTGACTCCTTTCATTATTTTGCCAAAGAAATTAAGTTTTTTGTTAATAGTTAGTATATGGATTGAAATCTACAAAGTCTTTTTAATCCCATTTTTTAAATTTTGAACTTATGCCAATAAACAATCTCACCTGCCCATTTCTACATAATACCGAAAAAATCAAAACAATTATTAGGAAATCTGTTATAAATAAGATAATAATAAGTGGAAATGTTGCTAGTGTGGCAGCTGGGAGCACATTACTAGCACATATAGAAAATATTCGAAAACTAATTTATAATCCGCGCACCATTTGTCAGAACTAGTTAATCATATGTTGAAGTATATATTGACTACAAAGCAAAACACGATTTGTCTAAAATGTTTGTGTAAACCGACGTTATTTGTAGATTGAGTAAGACCGAATTAACAAAAATACTTAATTTTAATCTGATACTTAAAAAGAATTATTGATTACATAAATTATATCCTTTCGAAGTCTCAACTTGCCTATAAAAGAATCCGTTACAAATTACATACCCTACGTGACAGCATATATTTCGAAACCATTTTGTTGAAGGCCCAACTTTCTGTATAAAATGTACAGAAAGTAAATCATTTCGGAGGGGGTTCGCCCTACATACGTCTCAGCACTACAACATGCAATAGGGGTCTTAGCAACCACGGTATAAATATTAATTTGATTAATTTTATGTCGTCGGGAATAACTATTTATTCATAATGACA